TAGTAGTAGTAGTTAGTAGTAGTCGTAGTAGTAGTAGTAGTTAGTAGTAGTAGTAGTAGTAGTAGTAGTAGTAGTAGTAGTAGTAGTAGTAGTAGTAGTAGTATAGTAGTAGTAGTAGTAGTAGTAGTAGTAGTAGTAGTAGTAGTAGTAGTAGTAGTAGTCGTAGTCGTAGTAGTAGTAGTAGTAGTAGTAGTAGTAGTAGTAGTAGTAGTAGTAGTAGTAGTAGTAGTAGTCGCGTAGTAGTAGTAGTAGTAGTAGTAGTAGTAGTAGTAGTAGTAGTAGCAGTAGTAGTAGTAGTAGTAGCAGCAGCAGTAGTAGTAGTAGTAGTAGTAGTAGTCCGACTACTACTACTACTACTACTACTACTACTACTACTACTACTACTACGACTACGACTACGACTACGACTACGACTACGACTACGACTACGAACTTCTACTAATTACTGGCAGTTGGGTGATTCCCTGGTCATTTTTCCTGGAGCCTGTGCGGTCTCCTTAAGGGTAATGATCTTGTTTCTCGGATTTAGCATGGACGGCACACACTTACGTTTAATACGAGCGAGGTCTTCTGGCCACTGCTCATTTTCCCGGTCGACCGGGGAAAACCCTACTTAACCGGTGTTTAAACCATCGAACTGGGGAATAAAGCACTGCCCGAAGCTTCGGTACCCCCCCCCGTTGCCTCCCTTTGGGCCCCCCCCGCCCCCCCTTTTAAATGGGGGAAGGCTTAGCTACCCCCCCTTCCGTTCGGCGCCCTTGTTCGAAGTCCATCCACCTCCCCCCTTGGCAAAATGGGGGGGGGTCGAAGCCCCCCATTCCGCAATTTCCCCCCCGCCCCCCGGAACATCCTTTCACCCCAAGACCCGCACCCTCAAACCTCAGCCTAGAACGATAACCCTACCTCTAAGACCCTAGACCTACCACCCTACTCTGTAACACTGAAAGCTTAAACCTTCCCACTTGTCCTTAAACCTAACCCTACCACTAGGACCCAACACCTAAACCTAAAACCATAATCCTAAGACCACAACTCTAGGACCCTCTCCCTAAACTTCGAACCCAAACCCTGCAACCGGGGCCTTAGAACCCTAACCCTCAAAATCCTGACCCTACCCCTTAACCGTAAGACCCAAACCCTCACCTCAAGCCCCTTGCCTTCAGTCCCTAACCCGAGCCCTGAACCTCGAAACCCTACGACCCCAAACCTGAGAGCCCCAACCCTCAGACCCTAACCCTAAGACGCGAAACCCCAATACCCTGACGACCCTAATACTAAGACCCCAGCCCAACCACCCGAAAACCTATGCCCAAACCCTTTATACCCACTATCCCCTCGGACCCGGGGCACTCGTCACTCGGTCGCCCTCTCTCGCTTCGCTCGTCCATGCCCTCCTTCCCTCCGCTCTTCCCATCCCCTTCCTCCCTTTCTTCTGGAAAGAAGAGCCCCAGCTTACCTCCTGCTCCCGAAAGGATAATGAAGGGAGGTAACTTCCGAAGCACCCCCCTTGGCAAGGGGAGCCCCAGGTGACCTCCGGCTCCCGAAAAGAGGACGAGGGGCTAGTTTCGAAGCTCCTCCAGCGAGGCAGTCCGAATTGAGCCTAGCCGAGTTGAACCGGGCCGAGTTGAGCAGGCCGAGATGATCCAGGCGTCGCGCTGCAGTCAGAACGCCAGCCGAATTGATCTGGCCGAGTTGAGCCTGGCCGAGTCGAGCCGGGCCGAGTCGAGTCCGGCCGAGTTGATCCTGGCCGAGTGGAGCCTTGGCCGAGTTGATCCTTCACGAGTCCGACTGCTGCCTGAAAGAGGCCCCAAGAGGCTACAAAACGGCCCCCAAGAGGCCTCAAAACTGCCTCCAAGAGGCCCCCGAGACGCCTCCCACGAGATCCCAACGAAAATCCAATATGCTTCACACCCACAACCCAGACACGGTGGCGGGATGGGCCGAAGGCCATTAGATCCGCCGCCCCCTGCTTGCAGGGGTGCACGGCGTGCTGGATGATTCAGGTTTTGTTTTGGTTCTTTTTCTAAAAGAACTCCCCAGTGGGCTTCGGCCCGTCCCGCCGGCCACCCGCAAATTGCCGAAAACCCATCTCTCAATGCCCAAAAACGGCCGTTTCGCTCGGGACATCCTCAAAAAATCGCGACGATGGCCCAAGATGGCCTCCAAGTCCGCCCGAGATGGTCCAAGACGGCCTCCAAAACGGCCCAAGAGAGTCCAAGACGGCCCAAGACGGCCCAAGAGGCCCCCCAGAGGCCTCCCAGACGGCCCAAGAGGCCTCCAAGAGGTCCTCCAGGAGAGTCCGAAGAGGCCAAAATCATTGATTTTCCCTTGGTTTTTGAAGGATTTTGGCATTTGCGCCTTTTCGGCTCTCCGACGGCTCAAGACGGCCCAAGAAGCCCCCAAGATCGCCCAAGAGGCCCCCAAGAGAGCCCCATGATGGCCCAAGTGGCCTCCAAGATGGCCCCTAGAGGGCCCCAAGAGGGCCCAAGAGGCCTCCAACACGCCCAAGATGGCCTCCCAGACGCCCAAGATGGCCTCCAAGACGGCCCTGGAGCATTCCAAGCGGGCCCCAAGTCGGCCCATAGAGGCCCCCCAAACGGCTTCCGACGGCTTCAGACGTGCCAGGAACCCACCAAGATGGCCGAAGTTGGCTCGAAGCTGGCCCGAGACGGCCCAAAAAGCCCCAAAGATCGCCCAAAGCTTGCCCAAGAGGCCTCCAAGACGGCCAAGATGACCTTCAAGATGCCCACGTGTTCCCCGAAGGCTTTCCAAACCGATTCGGGGAACACGTGGTCCGATAGCTTGGCAGGTCTGGCCTCAACGTTCGGCCACATAGGCGCTTCCAAAAAGGCAGGGGGCGGCGGTGATTCGCCGTAGGCGTCTTCGATAGCCGCCAGACTGGCAATCAGTCCCATACGACGGGCGGCGACGAGACGGCGACGGCGAGCACGGAGCCGCCACACCGACAGTCAGGGCCAAACGACGGGCGGCGACGAGGCGGCAACCGGGCGGCGACGGCGAGCACGGAGCCACCAGACCGACAGTCAGGGCCAGTTCCTTAGACCAGCACTAAGAACCCCTGAGTACAAGCAGTGTTTGGCGGAAAACCCAAATCAATGATTTCGGCCTCCTCGGGCGGCCTTCTGTGCTCCTGGGCCGTTCTCGGCGCTGGGAGGCCTCTGGGGCGGTCTTCAGGCGATCCTGAGCTCTCGCTGGCCGTCTCGAAAAGCGTCTTCAACTAGCATGGGGGTCGCTGGCAGAATTTACCACAACACCTTCGTGTTCAATTTGACCCGCACCTCGCTGAGGGCTCAGGGGCCGCTCCGGAACGATTTCCCCACCTTTTGTTTCCCAAGCCGTTTTCGCACGCACGTATGTCTGCAATTGATAAGACTCGGACTGACCCTTGGACTACGTCCACGTCAGCTGCATGAACCTGCATGTGATTGTGGATATGCCGTCGAAAATCTGACATGATGACGCGAGGATCGCCTCGCCTTCCGCGCATACTACTGCGTGTTGCTGCTTGCTGCCGCTGTTGCGTGCTGTTGGTGCTGTTTGTTGCAGCTGTGTGTTGTTGCTGCCCCCGATGGCCAACTCTGCTTGGCGCGGCGTGCTGTTGCCCGCGGCCTGCTACGTCTGGCTGCTACTGTGTGCTGTTGTCTGCTTCGTGCTTCGTGCTCCGTGCTGTTGCCGCTCGCTGCAGCTGCTTGATGCTGCAGGGTTCTGTTGCTCGCTGCTTCGGCTTGCTGGCACTCCCTGCTGCCAGGAGTGGCTCGAGGAGTCAGGATCGAGGAGGCTATCGAGGAGATTGAGGAGGGAGGGGGAGGGAAGCGAGGAGCGATCAGCGAAGAACGAAGAGCGAGAAGGCAGGAGTGATGGCCGAGAAGAGAGGGGCAAGGAGGGAGGGAAATCTGTACAGGGAGGCGACAGTAGGGGAGGAACCTCCTCGTGAGGGAAGTCCTACGGGCTATTGGGATATCTCTTGAAAACCTTTCGGGGCCTTGGGAAATTAAGCAGGGCAGGGCATGCGAACAGACCTGTGAACAGAAAGTCGAATTTCAGAGTCGAGAGTCGAGGTTCGAGGAGGTTCGTCGTCCTTTTAAGCCTTTGAGGACTATTTTCGGGCTCGCAATCAAACATCGATTGGGGGCGAGAGACCAATCCGGACAGACCCCCCCCGGGGTCCGGGGGCCGATTCCTCAAGGGTTTCGTCGATTTGAAGGGAGCGTTTGGGTTGGAGGCTCGAGGAGTCGATGTCTGAAGCTCTGGGAGTCAGAGATCGTCCGACGGAGCGCTTGTGGTACGCGAAAATCGTGTCTGGGAGTTTCGGCGTCGAGAACTTCGGACAAAAACGCCGTTCGATATTGGGAGCCGTGGCGTGCAGGACTTGTATGCCAGCCGGACTATTGTGGGGCCCGTGTCGGCGAGTCCAGCACGCCTACCTGGGGCCTCTTGGAGCCATCTTGAGGCATTCTGGGCCCGCTTTGGGCCGTCTTGGGTGCCTCTTGGGCCGTCCGTGGGCCATGCTGTACGTCTTGGATCGTCTTTGAGCCCGGTGTGGGCGTCTGGGGGCGACTCTTGGCGTCCTTGTGGCGTCCCCTTGGGTGGTCTTGGGGCTCTCTTGGGCCCTCTTGGGCAGTCGTGGGGCGCTTCTTGGGGCCTCTTGGACCGTCAAGCTCCAGAGCCGTCTTGGACCGCTCTTGGCCCGAGACGGCGAGACGCTGAAAATCCTTCGACAACTTCTAAGTCAATCATTGATTTGGGCCTCCTCAGTGCCGTCGCCGGGGTCCTCCTGGGCCGTCTTGGGAGCCTACTGGAAGTACTTCTGACCGTCGTGAAGCCGTCTTGGCGACGTCTTGGGCCGTCTCGGGGCCACCTTGGTGCCGTCGGGAGGCCCGCCCGGACCCGCCAGGGCGCGCCAGGAGCGATCTTGGACAATTACTCAAGCCCGCCACCCTTCTGGCACAATGTTCTCCCAGCCGTATAATATGGATGACGTCGGGCTCCCCTTTCGCCTCCCGCATCTCGCTCAGCAACGCCAGCGCCCGCTTCCACTGCTCGCCGTTACCGCACGCGCTGATCCCAGCGCTGTAGATGACTAGTGCGAACCCGTGGATTCAATCCGCAGTTTGCTGAACCTGGGGCTCGCAGGCGGTAGATTTGATCAATAGAACAAGGCGTGAAAGCCGAACAGCTCGTGGGCTCGTAGAGAGGATGGGGGGATGGCAGGAGTGCAAGTGCAGGACCTCGGCGCGCCTAAGCGTGCAGCGGCAGGGACTCCGTGGAGGAGAAAACACGGTGAGTGCCTGGCGTGACGAACTGCGCTGTCGTTTTTGACGCCGCGTGGAATGCTCAACCCTGCACGATCAGCAGTTTTGAAATCGCTAGACCGTGCATGTCGGTCGATTCTGGACCACTGTCGGCGCTGAGGCCTTGATGCCGGGCTGAGGTCGCGGCCTCGTCGACGCGACGCGAATCTTCGAATTCCTCCCCAGTTGGTGGTGCGAGACGGGGCCGGCAGCGGAGAAGAGGAACGGTACGTGGAGAAAAGAGAAGAAAGCGAGCACTCCGGGAGGCGCGGAGATGCGCTTCCTCTGCCTCGGGCACGGCCCAACCGACCCCCTGTGTGACGGGCGACCCCGCGACGACCTCCCAGCTCAGGAGGCCTGCCTCTGGCTGCGTGCGTGCGTCTTGCAGTAGAGCGAAGAGGTCGCCACGGGAGAGCGCTGGTCCGCTTGGTGTGGGTGGGCCATTCCTCAACCACGTCCCGTCGGGCTGTGAGCTGTGCGCCCAAGTCCTTCACTATGACCAAGCACCAATGCTCCGCCATAATGTTGTTGCTGGGGCGCACGCTGTACACGTGGCCCTGCATCACCTCTCCGACATTCGGGGCCTCCCGGGGGCCTGTCTGAGGCCTCAATGACCACTCTTGGAGCGCGTTTCCTAGCTCCGGCACCACAAGAGCTCTTTTTTTACTTTTCGGGGTAGCGGCCGTCATCGGCCCCGCCTCCCCCCTCAAATGACGTCACCTTCTGCGCCAGTGGAGTCCAGGAATGCCTAGGTATGACCGTGGCCAACTAGCCAACTAGGAACATGTACGTGGCGATCTGCCCCACAGCGCCTGTGTACACCACACTGCTCGTGTGCACCACAGCGCACGTGTACACCACAGCGCCTGCGTACACCGCGACACCCGTGTGCAACGCAGCGCCTGTGTACACCACAGTGCCTGCATGCACCACAGCGCCTGTGTACACCACGGCGAATGTGTACACCGCAGCAACCATGTGCAACACAGCGCCTGTGTACATCACAATGTTTGCGTGCACCACAGCGCCCGTGCACATCACACCGCCTGTCTACACCACAGCATCCGCGTGCAACGGAGCGGTGGTGTACACTACACAGCATGCGTGCACAGGACAGGTAGACGGAGCATGTCGGTGAGGATCTGCTGCGGACAGCTGGAGACCACGCCAGGGAGGTGCTGATAATAGAATTTGACGTTCTTCCCTCCTCCATCCTCCTCCACCTCCACGTCCACCTCCACCTCCTTTTCCTCCTCCTCCTCCTCCTCCTCTTCGTCGCTGACCTTTCCCCCCTGTCGTGCGGGCCTGCGCTACAGCGCACGTGCGCATCTCAGCGTTAACCGCAGAATGGTCTATTGAATCAATCCAGTTGTATCGGACGGTCGGAATTCTGCTGGAGCCTCAGGGACGCGGATGGGAGGAGTTAGGATGATGCGGGAGGACTCGGGAGGACTTGTAGATTCCAGCGGCGCTCCGTTTTCCATACGGATTCCTTTCTGAATCCTACAAAACACGGCTTTCTGGTGAATCCAATGGCGCCCCATGTTGTCACCAAGATTACTTATAACAGTCTATACATGTATGCAACAGTGGTGCTCTGTTGCAGACGGTTGCTGCGGAGCACGCAGGAGCCGTGGTGTGCACAGGCGCTGTAATGTACGCAGGCATTATGGTGTACACTGGTGCTGTGTTGCACACGGCTGATGTGATGTATGCAGGCGCCGTGATGTACACAAGTGCTGTGGCGCTCGCAAGAACTGTGACACACACTGGCGCTGTGTTGCACGCGGCTGCAGTGGTGTACATGGGCGGTGTGGTGTACGCAGGCGCTGTGGTGCACGAAGGCACTGTGGTGTACACAGGCGCTGCGGTGCAGATCGCCACCTACATGCTATTGCTACCCGTCCTCGGTCATTCTTAAGCATTCCCAGACGCCGCCGGCGCGAAACGTGACGTCATCGGCCTCCCCCCCAAGATGACGGCCGTCATCGGCCCAGAATAAAAATAGGCTCCAGCCGCGTCCGCGCGCTTGACCACGATGAGCGACGAGCAACGAGCGACGAGCGACAATGACGACGACCACGATGACGACGACGACGACGACGAAGACTGCGGACCAAACACCTTATGCACATTCTTATGCAGACGCCTATGCGGATCCGGATGCGCACGGCGGCAGTGCCCGGGGCGTACTTGGGGGGGAGGGGGGGGCGTTACGTTATAGGACGGGGCGCCGGGGGCTAAAAGCCCATTATACCCTAAGCAATCAAGAAACACGCTCGTGGGATATTTGGGGTCTCTTGGGCCGCGTCGGGAATATCTTGTGTTCTTCTGCGAGGCTGCCTGGGGCCTCTGGGAGCCTCTTGCGGAAATTTGTCTGGGGCTGTTCCCGGGCTGTCCCCCGAGCCCCCTTTTGGAAGACAGCCCGAGAAGCCTATTTCGGAATCGCCTTGTAGCCTTCCTGGCGCGCTCTTGGGGCTCTCAAGGGCTCTGTGGGGACTCTCTTGGGGCCGTCTTGAAGGGCACATGGGGCTTTGGGGGGCCGTCTTCGCGCGCTCTTGGGCCATCTTGGGGCTCTTTTGGGCCATCTAGGGTCTAGGGCATCTCTTGGGAGCCTGCTGGAAAGTGATGGGGCGACCTGGGAGGCACTGGGAGCCGTCTGGAGCCGTTCTTGGGCCGCAATGGGGAGAACCTGAAAATCAATGCAACACGGTGGAAACTCTGACAGGGTCCTCTTGGACCGTCCTGGGAGGCCTCCTGGCGGCTTGTCTTGGGGCCGTCTTGGGCCACTCTGAGGCTCGCTTCGGATTCTCCAGGAACGTCTGGGCGCTCTCTGGAGCGTCTCTGAGCCGTCGTTGGACGTCTTTGAGCCTTCTGGCGACCGTCCAGGGCCGACCCAGGAGCGCTGGGGCGCCCTGGGAGGGCCGGGGCGCCCCGGGAGCGCTGGGAGCCGCCCCGGCCCGCTGCCACCGCAGCGCAGACTCGCACGCACTGCGCCGAGCAGTGTCGTGCGGGTGACGTCGGGCTCCCCCTTCGCCTCCCGCATTTCGCTGAGCAGAGCCAGCGCCCGCTGCCACTGCTCGCCCTTCTCGCACGCGCTGATCCCAGCGCTGTAGCTGACCAGGGCTCACCCGTGGCCTACCGGCCGCGACATCAGTCCAAAGTTGCACGTTGGACCAGGGCAGAGATGTTGCCACAAGGCTTCCGTGACGGCGTGAGGCCCGAACTTCGCAGATGACGCAACCTGCAGCTCGTCAGGGAAGCGAGGAGCGAGGAGCAAGGAGCGAGGAGTCAGGGTCGAATGGGAGAAGCGAGGAGCAATCAGCGACAAGCACAGATCGAGAAGGGAGGAGCGACGGCCGAGGAGAGAGAGAGGCCAGGAGGGTTGAAGGAGAGCCGACGAGGGGGGGGCAGAAGCCAGTAGTCAGGAGCGAGGAGGAGAAAGAAGGAGGGGCGAAGAGAGGGAGGCGAGGAACGAGGAGAGAGCGGGCAGAAGCGAGGAGCGGAAAGCGTGGAGCGAGAAGGACGGCATGAGGAGAGGACAGCACACGCATGTCTCAATGGCCTCGGTGCGCGTGGCCGAACATCTAATCCTCTTTTGGATCGCTCATGGGGCTCTCTTGGATGGCCGACGCGTTCACAGAGCTCTCTAAGGAATCCTCCCTCGAACGCCTCTTCTCTTCGAGGCGGCTGTTGGGGTGTTTGGGGGCCTCTCTGGGCCCTCTCGGGGGCCTCTTGGGGCCTGATTTGGGCCACTTGGGGGTCTCTAGGAGGCCTGCTGGCGGTCTCTGGGGGTATTCTTGGGGCGGAAGGTGCGACGTGTCTGTTCTCGTCGAGTTCCCCCCCCTGGGGCCGTTGGGCCGCCTGGGGCGCCTCTCGGGCCGTCTTCGGGCCCTCTTGGGCCGTTCGGGGGCCCTCTTGGAGGTATGTGGGGCCGTCTTGGGGCGATCTTCGGGACCTCTCGGTCCGTCTTGAAGCGTCGGAAGCCCGAAAAGGCGAGACCGCCCAAATCAATAAAACACCCAAGGGGATTCAATAATTGTGAACTCTCAGGGGCCTCTTCGGGGGCCTCTTGGGAAGCCTCATGGAACCCTCTTGGGCCGTCGTAGGGCCCTGCCGGGCCATCTGAAGGCCATGTTGGCGACCTCTTGGACCGTCTCGAGGCGTCTCGGGCTATCTTGGGCCGTTTTGGGGCCGTCTAGAAGCTCTCTGGAGGCGTCTCGGAGCGTCCCTGGACCGCCCTGGAGGGCGTGGGAGCTGGCCAGGACGAATTTGGTATTATTGGGTCCGCGCCTTTCTGGCACGCTCTTCTCCCGGCCATGTAGGAGAGATGACATTGGGCTCCACCTTCGCCTCCCGCATCTCGCTGAGCAGCGAGAGTGCATGTTGCCATTGCCCGCCTTGTCTGCATGCGCTGACAGTCGCGATGTAGTGTCCTGTGGCGAGTTGCACACCTAATCGAATCCCTTCGCGGAGCAACTCTAGTGCTGCGCTCCACTGTTTCGTTCTACCGCACTTCTTGATCGACACTTCGAGGGAGACGGCACCTTCTCGAGACCACCGACCGGTGTCCAGCATCCAAAAACGGTGCGTTCCCCAAAAAGCGGTACAACGGCAGCATTTGAGCCCCACATGGCTGGAGCCGAACACCCGAGCCAAAATGACCTGAGCCAGAATGGCTGCGGGGATTCTTGAGACCTACCGCGATGGGGACGGGCAGGACACGAGGGGCACAACAACACACCGTCCGACTCTCGGCACGACGTTCGATGAAACCGGAGCGGCCAGAGAAGACACGCGTCGTCACCAGGAGCTGCGCCCAGGATGTGAGAATCCGCATCAGCGACAAGCAGTATCAATAATGCTTGATGTGAGAAAGCACGCCCACATATGAAGAATCGCGCGTGCACAATGTGCACATGACCATATATGTTTACAGCTGTGCGTATGCACATGCATATGAAAACACATGACAAGTGCATGCGCAAATCGAAACCCGAGGTGGCCCCGAATGCCCCCAATAGCGCCACAACGCCAAAAGAGCGCCACCAAAGGGCCCGCAACGCCAACTTTCGGGCTCAACGCGTAAGGCTCCTTTTTGGGATCCCTTTTTTGTAGGACCAGTGACCACCCCACCAGGCCAAATAGAGCCTCACGGTCTCCCAAACGGGCCTCCCAACTGACTCCAAATGGCTTCCAAACGGCTTAGAAGTCTCCAAATTCAATAGTATTGGGTTGTCCTTTCCGATGGGATACTGGGAATCTGGGAAAAGTCAACCAGTACATGTGGCCATCATCCTTTCGGGATCGGCGGAATGATTGCGCACATTACGATAGACCGCCAATCTGCACGGCTCTGCACCGCGCTACGTCAGTGTGCCACGCCCAAGCTGTTCTCAACGCATCATTACTTCACATTCTGAAGTACACGCGATGTACTACCCCAATGGCACAACATTGCCACCCGCGCGTGCGAATATACATACGGGTAAACGGCTGCGAAAGTCCAGCACAACTAGCATGCACCCACGTACCAATAACATAGGCGACATGCATACGCGATGCACCTTGAACGTTACACGGTCGCCGCGGCAGCCCGACCACCTGCCTGTGCTCATGCAACAATATGCATGACTTGCTGCCCGCCTGACTGAGCGGGGCAAAACTTGTGAGAGATGTGGGAGACCCTGCAAAGCTGAACGCTCTACGGTTGTCCATTAACTCAGTGAACGCCCACTACACCGGCAGGAACAAGCATCCCCTCTCAAACAGCTGCTAGTGACGCAAGTTACGAGGTCCTCCTTCCGCACCCTGTGCCGCACAGAATGAGGCGGCGAAGCTAGAATGGACGGGAAAGCAGTGCGAACGGGCGTGTGTGTGCGGGCCCGCTGAGGAGGACCCCTTCTCCCCCAAGGACCCACCGCGCGCCTCACATGGCGCAGGGCTGGCACCGCGCATTGCCGCGCGTCGGCGCGGACGAACAGCACCATCGACGGCCTGGCGAACGGAGACGACCGATGATGACGATGAAGATCGTTCGTCCGTTCGTCACTTTGCTTATCCGGAGGTCTGCGGCAACCCGCGTGAAGGCAGGGCGTGATAGCCCAGATCCGAACGCAGAAATCGATGATTCAGCCCTATTCAACCGAAACTCTTTCTCTTTGCCACTTTCCAATTTCTGACAATCGTCGACGGGGGCCGTTTTCCCCTGTCTCTGTCTCAGCTCCTTCCTCATCCATGTGGTTTCCTTCTGCCCGCCCACCCGCCCGCCCGCTCTCCCCCGACAACAGGCGCGCGCGCACAATGGCCCTCACAACTGGGGTGCATCGTCTAAGGATACCCCCAGCCCAAGGCGGGCAATGCACTACAACATGAGGATGATGAGGAGGAGGAAGAGAAGGAGGAGGAGGAGGAGGAGGAGGAGGAGGAGGAGGAGGAAACCGGGAAGGAGGGGGAAGACGGGGATTGGAGGACGAGGAGGTGAATAATGAGGACATAGAGGAATACTGCAGACGAGGATGAGGAGGAGGAGGAGGAGGAGGGTGCAGAGGAGGGAGGAAAGAGGAGGAGCAAAAGGAGGCGCCTACGACCGGGACCGCAAACCGCCACCTAAGACGACGGTGGCCCCGACGACCGCCCCCCCCACCCCTCCCCGTTTTTTTTTCACAAGCTGCGACCGCTATTAGCTCGCAACCCAAGTTGGGTCATACCGGCCCGTCCTGGGTGGCAGGCAGTGGAGCCGGAGCCGTTCCTGGGCTGTCACCGAGATGCTGTCTCGCAGATCGTAGCCGCACTAGCCTGTCGATGCACTGAACAAGCGCGCCGCCAGAGGGCGACCAGCAGAGCCGCGAAGGTCCAGCGTCGCGCAAAACCTGGAAAAATACACCACGAAAACGCGCGACAGACGTGCAAATTAATGATTCAAGTGTTGCAGAAAAAAAACCCGCCGACAGTGCCGGGAAACGTCCGCGGACAATGCTGGGAAGAGGCTTTCAAACGGGCGGGGGAGGAAGAGGAGGAGAGGAGCGGGGCGAGAGAGACCACTCAGAAGCCAAGGGCAGCGTTCAAGCCAACCTGCAATAGGCGACCCATCGCGCGGACCCTGGGACTGGAACAATGGGCAGTGGAGCTGGCTGAGAAACCGCAGAAGTCATCGCCAGACTGCTCGGCAGTCTGGGCGCCCACATAGCCGCTGCTGTGCAAGCGCAGCGAGAGAGAGAGAGAGAGAGAGAGAGAAAGAGAGAGAGAGAGAGAGAAACAACAACAAAAACAAAAAAAGCAGGCGGCAGCGGACAACAATAATACAACATTCCACGGAGTCGTATCATATCGAAACGGGCTGGGCTACCCGCGAGATCAAATACAACTAATAATATGAAGCGAGCGGCGCGCCGAAATGCGACCGAACAGAGCAGAGGGTGAGGAAAGAAAACGGAAACGGAGATCCCAAGGAGCAAACCCAAAAACAGGGAGGGGGACATTCCGTACAAAACGCAATTTTTGTACGGAATTTCCCCATTCCTTGTTTTGGCCCCCGCCCGCGGGAGACGGGAGGCAGGAGAAAAGAGAAAAAGACGAAAGAAGCGAGTTGAAATCTACTGGCCTTCCAGACGGGGCCTCTTGAAAAAGAGCCTGACGAGATGCTGTGCGCGTGGGTGCCCAAAGACCGCGTCTCAGACGTACCCGCGGAACGCGTCGGCCCCATCGGCGGCCTGGGGGCCGTGTCGGACGGCGTTGCGCGTCTTATATAACGCGTATACCCCGATCGCCCGGGGCGCCGCCGCCGTGGCCCTGGCGTTGCCGCCCCGGCAGTGCGTGGGGGGAGAGCGCTCGTGGGGGCGAATGCCCGCGAAGTCGCTGAGACACTTCTCCGCTGGCGGCCGGCGGAATCCGCGACACTGGCGGCACAGGGTATGACATGTAGGACGAAAAGCGTAATGCTGTATACTGTCCTCCCCACGAGTTGAAGAGACAACTTCCTGCCCTGCCGAAAGCGGCGGGCGGTGGTCCAACAATTCCAAGCACTGCGCATTTGACACGCTTGTACACGGAGGGGGAGGAGAGGGGAGGCGAGGGCAAGAGTGTTGAACCACCACACTGGGCGGCGGCCAGGCAGAACCTTGAGCTGCCATTTGTCCAATCGTTTCCGATTGTGCCGTGCATCAGAATGTGGAGCAACAGCGTGCAAAAGGACGAGCGGCCTGCGCTTGCCACCCGCTCCGTTCCTGAGCGGCGGGGCTTGCAGGGTCATTGAGAAAAGGCACCGCGCGTACTTGCCGCTATGCTGCCGTCAACTCAGTGGTGGTGTCACGGAGCGAGAACAGAACATCCTGGTCGATGTACTGCTGGAAATGCCCCACCCGGGTCTGATTCCCGAGCTCGTATCCCGAGGCCGCCGTGCGCCGCGTTCTCGAACCTGGCGACCCTGGCCCTCGCCGCGCGGGCGGCGGAATGGACGTCGGGGAAGCCTCGGGGAACTCAAGGATTCCACGGAGAACCAATCCTTGGGTCCGCGGAAAAGCGCGCGGCACGCTTGCAGCTCGATCGCGTCTAAGGAGCACGGCAGCGCGTCGAGCTGCGCGACAAACGTGACCTCTGAGCCCACGAAAACCTGGTAGGCCAAGACGCCCAGTTGCCCCCAGAGCACGGCCCTGTCGATGAATTTTTGAAGGGGGCATCCCATGAGCTAGTACCGCGGCCAGGCCCAACGACCATGCCGTGGTGCTTCGCCTTGTCCTGGGTCGGTAGGGCCCCCCATGACGGGACTTCCCGAATGGGCCGGCGACGCGCTCCATCGCGCTCATACCTAAAGAAAAACATGAATGAAGACGGTCTTGGTTACATTTAGCCGTAGGCTGGAGATACGCTCGCACTCGAGAAACATGTCCTGAATGGCACCGGTGTGCTGGAAGATAGCGGAGTGCACCGGGGCTGCATCGCCGGCGCAAGCGCGTACTCGAGCTTTCGGGAGATGCCAGCCCTGGCGCCGAAGTAAAATGTCCGACGCCGCCGCGAACAGCAGATGGGACAGGGGGCAGCCTGGGCGGACGCCCCGTGCCAGGTCGAAGCCAGCGTGTCGCGAGCCGCCCAGGGCGATGGAGCACGAATTGTGGTAGAACAAGCAGACGAAACAGTTGACCAGCCACACTGGCCAGCGGAGCTTGCGGAACACCGCGAACAACACGTCGCGCTCTACGGCTCTACGGGCGGGAGCGCGGCGGCGAAGTCGAAGAAAAGCGCCCGTTCGTCGCCATGGCCTCCTCGGTGTCAATCAAAGTTGGCCAGCGTGCCCCGCGCTGCGATGAAGCCCCTCTGGGCGTCGACAATCGTCGGGCCGAGGACGCGGTGCGCGAGATATCGAACAACGCTCGCCAAAAGCCGATCGTCGGTGTTGGTCACGCTCAACGGCCT